GGAGAGGGAAGAGAGGGAAGAGAGGGAAGAGAGGGAAGAGAGGGAAGAGAGGGAAGAGAAGGAAGAGAGGGAAGAGAGGGAAGAGAGGCAAGAGAGGGAAGAGAGGGAAGAGAGGGAAGAGATGAGAGGAAATAACCTGGCTGCCATAGAAATGAATGAACACAGTTTGAAGTGAGCGTTGGTAAGCACTTAGAGTACAGTTTTATACCGGAAGCTATTGTTTTTATCAACTCAATTATTTTTATTACTAAGACAGTTGTTCTCATCTTAACGTCAAACAAATTGATGAGACAGTTTCAGGCCTGTTTCCATGAGTGTTTTATACTGTCACTTAGAAATAGGTTGTCCACCTCTCCTGCTTTATGATTAAGTACCTTATATCAGAGCTCTATGTGACATCACAATAAAGGGCAGCACATCCCCACAGTTACAAAGTGCTGGGCCAAATAATATGCACGCTGTGTTTTGTGCAGACACACATGGTTTACACTAACTTTGTTGAGGTTTGGTTTGCCTTAGAGTCACTGAGATAGTAACTGTAATTAGTGATGATTTAAACTTTTTTGTATCATGTTGTGACAAGTAAAAATAGTGAATGGAGATTTTCATCCAAATACAAGAAAATGCATAAAAACGAAACAGACCCATTCTTAGTCCTTTATTCCTAATTTCTTATTCCCTAACGATGCTCATTTTAAAAGTCCCTCTCAAGGCCTCTCCTTTTCAATATAGTGCCCATGTTTTTCTTCATGAAAATTTAAAGAGACATCAGCATATTTCCACTTTCCCCTCTAGATGATCACTCCTGCCTCAGTGGCCTTGAAATTAATTTGCTTGCTGTGTGACTGATGTTCTTTGCTGTTAAATAATGCCATCTGGAGAGGTTTTGCAGTTTGACCCTACAAAGGAAACTAGCATTCTCAGTGAGATCCTGCCAAAGTACCTTGATTCCAGAGATTCCAGCAGCCACAGCAGAGTTGTTGCTTAGAAAAGGTGGGACAATGGGACTTGAATGCTAGCCTTAAGGCCTATTGTAAGGATAGAGGTACACTATTAATTAATTTTTTCTAGTATTGTGATCAGATTTAATGTAAAAACACCATCCTATGCAAGATTGGTAATACTTGGTATAGTGAGCTATTTTTCTGACATTAGCGTAAAGAACAATATATAACACTGTATTTTTTAAATTTATTTCCCATTAATCCTCTCAAATTTCATCCATTATGAATATAGCAATACAAAGATGACTGGGCCAATTTCAAGTAAATTCAGAGAGAATGAACCAATTTTGTACTGATTGGTTTCACACGATTTCTACTCTTTTGAAGATACTTAATGAAGCTGTTAATTGCAGGGTCTTAAAATTCTTATAGCATGTCATGTTATTTTAGTAAAGAGCTGGGGAAAGGGTGAAAACGAGTGTTGATGTGAGGTGTGACCATGAGTGGCGCTGCACGTCGCAGGGCGTTTTCAGTTCCTGTGTTAATTTCCCTGGATATAGGAAGGAACACCTCCTTCCCCAAATGTCTCAACTGATAAACTCTTCATTTTATTTTTACCTCCTTTTTTCTTTGAATTTTTCATACCTATAGACAATATACTTCAGTCATATTCATAATCGGCCCCTCTAGGACTACCTATCACTTCTTCCTTCAAGTTTATGCCTTTAGTTTATCTATCTCTCTTTATTATTTTACCTTACAGAGTCCATTAATGCTGAGTGTATACTTATCGGTATGGGGTCAGTCACTGAGGCATTGCCAACCTTCAAATGTCTACACTCCCCAAAAGAAGTCACTCTTCCTCAGCCCTGACACCATCAATTGTCAAATAACATCTAAAGTAGGAATAGAGCCCTGGAAGAGCCTCCCCAATTCATCTCACTATTTTTTAATCCCCATATGATTAGAGAACTTTGAGAATTTATTTCTTCATATCTCTAAAGATAGTCTTTAACCTCCTTCTTTAATGTTGTCTTATTCCCCAGGATCATATCCTCCCTGCATTCAGGCGTGTGTAACATATTTAGGTATGTGACATCTAAGATTCATACTTCCAAATAAACACTTCAGTCACCTCGGCAACATAAACAATCATATCTGTGTGCTCAAAAGTTTATATCCTCTGCTATCAAAATAAACATGTTAGATATGACATCTTTGCATCTTCATATAGTCTAACCTTCCATTCATTCTTAGATTCAGCTATACAATTTAGAAATGATAATTCCATACCTAAGTTAGATATGCACTTCCATTTTTGACTCGAAGAGTGTTGACCCTTGGAAACTATAAGCTATAGTTTAAGAAACTTTTATTTTTAATTTATATTTTCTTCCTAATTCATGTTACTGCTCAGTATATCAGAAAAATATCATTTTAAATTTTATATATCTTAACCTAGTTTCTTTCAGTCACGCCATCTCAGGACCTATTAAGGATGAAGAATTTGTCATGCAGGACAGAGAGAATTTTAGTAATTTTTTTTGTTATTGTTTGGGTTTTTTCTTTCTTTATTTGTTTTTCCATCTCAGATATTATTTTTTAATATCTTGTTGCATCATATATATTGAATATATCAGATAATCTTTCTAGATTTTCCGGTATAACAAACTTGATTGTTACCTGGCCTTTATTCCTAGGTGTTATATAAAACTCTGAAAGGGTTATTGTTGATTTTCAATATAAACTCTTACATATTCTTAGCAAAGTATTGAACATCTTAGCAAATCTTCAGTTCTTGCAACCAGAGCCACAACCAAAGTAACATCATTGATGGCACGATACAACCCGGGAAAGAGATCTTTAGGGCAGTTGTATGGTGAATGTAGAGTTTCAGGAAAGTGTGACCTCCAATAGAAGCCAACCTTTCCACAAGCTTGAGTGTCAGCAAGAGGATTTATTTGCTGGTTTACTTAAATATTTACTGTATTGTCGGAAGGCTATGGCTGTGCTCAACTTGAGCTCTTCCCAAGATTACACACAAATAAATCAAAATTTCTCCTCAGTACTGTATTCTGGCACTGGGCAATGTAGTCATCTTTCCAGTCCTCACTCCTGCTCATCACTCCTGCTTAGGAAATCTCATGGTGAACAAATGTAATAGAATACAATTGTAACAGTAAATGAAAATTGAGTTTGATCTATTTTTCTTCTATATCTAAATAGAAATTAAGATTCTGAAATAAGGTTTTATTACGTTTTTGTTATCACAAGCATTATGGTTACATTTATTTTTCCTTTCATTTAATTAATTAAATTGAGTTCAGACATTTTTATTTACAGCCAAGGTTTGCAAGCTAGCTGCTCCAATGTGCTGGGGTGCAGCAACCCTAGCCCTAGGATGCGGTAATTTCAAAGCTTTGCTTCTTCTGAATTAGAAAAAAAAAAAGCATTTTCCCCATCTTGTGAGATGGCTTGGCTAGTGTCACAGGCTTTCATTTCTCTGTCACTTCCCTACCTCTGTTTTGTCACACAAGTTAATATGATCTAAATATTATGAATGGACATCTAACAAGAAAGGCTCTGGGTATTTAAGCCATACAGAGTTGTTTCATGTTGGAAGAGTGACCTTTACATGTCTAGCGCTTGTTTATTCCTGCAGATAGGTTCCCATTTCCTGGTTAAGAGTTATATCGATCTCCATAAACATCCTTCATCCATGTATGCAGGCAGTAAAATCATGATGGCCCGTGGCTATTTACTTTCATAGATTTGTAAGAACACAGCTACCTACCTTTTGAAACCTGACCTGATCTGCTAGCAACACGTCTAGAGGAATGGGGAAAGATCGCCACTTAGAAGACATTTACAAGTTCTGACTTCATTCGTAGCCTCACAGTGCAGCTCTCAGAATTATACAGTCTAATTCAGTGACTTCTGACAAAGGCCTTAATCTCTTAGAGGCCTTGCAATAAGGATCTACAGCGGAATGAAAACTGAGTCTTGCCAGTGTCTCAAGGAACCCGACATTAAAATTCACCGTTCACTGCTCGGCATTTCCTTTCCTTTTTTACTCTCCAGAAAACGGTGGGATGAATGAATTGGTTCCCTAGATGCCAAGTAGAACAAGTAGTGATAATTTACCTACGATGACGCTAGCTTGAGGAGAGCCAAAAAAAAAAAAAAAAAGGAGAAAAAGAAAAACAAAAATAGTAAAGCTGATTTGTCCCTTCTAAATTACAAAGAAATGTAAATTATATCTATTCCTGTTTTCCACTTTGATTTGAATCTATATCTTAGTAGCAATCCAATAAAGATAATGTATTTTCCCCTTCCTTATATCGTGATATAAGCAAACACTGTCTCCTGTTTA